CCCCCCCCCCCCCCCCGTTCGCTACGCCCGGAATGGGATCCTCACTACGGCCCCCTCTCATATCGCCAACAAATGCTTGGCGCCAAATGCTTGGACTTGTCAAACGTGGGTTGCCAAGTCCAGGCAGACATGTCCACCGAGCAACGAGGATGTTGTGTTCCCAGGACTTCTGTTGCTGTCACGCGTGGAAGGTCTGCAAATGCATACTAGACTACAGCAGTACACAGACTAGTGATGATGAAAAAATATGCCTTACACCCTATGGGAACAACCGAGGTCTTGACAACAAGTCAACTCGATTTTAGGTTTTGTTTTTAAGGTTCGTCAAACATAAGAATCGTCCGCGTTCATTTCAACTACTGCTGTTGCATCTTCATGCCACCACCGGTCGTGTTACTGACCGGGTCAGAGAATCAGGGCTGAGGGTAGGTGGTTTCTTACGACATGCAACAGACACAGGCCCACGTATTGTTGTTGTTTGTTGTTGTTTCTCGCAATAGCTCTATAGACTAGTCTAGTCCACAAAAAGTGGGGAGCCCGTGGTCTCAAAACCCGGCACATACGACGCCACGAGGAAACAAAACAAAAATAGGGTACAAACCACTCGGAAAAACACAGGCCCACGGATGTACATGTACCACCCACCACGGAACATTTTGCACTCTTTCAACAATCGGTAAACCAGTGGTTCACGCAGGAGAATATGAGCGACTAAAATTGTGGGCCCTCAGATTGCATACGCAAGTTGCCGTCGCAGCTGCCGATTGCACAAGCAAGTGTGTGCGGTGACGTGAGGAGCGCAGCGGTGACGGTGTGTGCTCGAAAGTGTGCTGCTGTTGGAAGGCTCTAGGCAGCAGGGGCACGGCTGTTGCATTTTGCTGTGAAAGAAAGACTAACCCATAGGACAGCCAGATCTCATGTGCACACTCTCGACGGCAGCGCGACTGCTAACATCAACACACCAGGCGTTCGCTGTTGTGGCTAGGTTTGTGGTGCGCACCGTCATGTGCAAGCGATCATCATGAATTTCGGGGATTGCCGATCATACCTCTTGACCAATAACTATACGATACTCACGCGTGAGGTGATATTCGAAAGGACCTTGTGCACAGAACCCTAACAAGTCACTCACGCACCTCTGCTGCAGTTAATGGAGCGCTGGCTGGCCGTGTGACGGCGCCATCGCGGGTTGAACTATGAAGCAGAAAAAATTCAGTTGGGTTACCCGATGGGATGAACCAAAATTGACAGGGAATAGGGGTGTGAGTATCGCCCATGTGTGGGCAATCCATAGATGATGTGCACGATTTGGGATCAGCACCACAGGGAGAGTTGTAGCAGAATAACCCAAAACTCTGCGCGGATAGACTGCTTCCGGATGTGATTCCAGTATTTGGTATGTGTGCATAAAAAAAATAGGAATTTTTCCATAGGCGCCAACACCTGTGAACCAAGGTACTGAGAGAGACGGGGACGTTCGAACGGTGTTTTGTTTTTTTCTGCGAAGACAACAAGCCTCAGAACTCTTCGTTCGCCTCCGCACGCTATGGGAGATGTGTAGCCATAGACTGAAAAAAAAGAGTAAAACAAGGAGGAAGAAGCAACGGACCGCCTACGCAGGATTTTCAGAGTATCTAGAAAAAGAATAGGGAGCGGGCACGCAGACCCTGTCCTAACCCTAACCATAACGCACGGATTGAATACTTTATCCCATATGTTTGCTTAATCAATTTTGCTGCGTAGACTACTGGAAGCCGAACAAAGTCGGGAAAGTAACGCCAATTGGCAGAACACTGCTCCCATCGTGAAAAAAAGTTTTCCACGCAGAGATTGTTCGGCCAGTCAACCGGCGTGTTTCAGAGCTTTCCGCAGCAAAAAAGGGTACCGTGACGAGGGAGGGATCCGTGTGTTGTGCGCGGTCCTTATTCAAGGCAGCCATGCCCAGCCCAGCTCAACGGCGATGCTCTACACGTCGGTGTTCGCTGCGCCCTTGGTGTGGCGCACCCTCAACCCTGCCTAAAAAGATTCAAGAACGACTGACAACAGCGAATCATCTGTTGCTACAAGCTGATTCCGAACGACAGAGAAAAGCCTCCCAACAGCAACAAGCACGAGACACGTCCCGAAAACCGCAGCGGGGTGTGCGTGGACGTGAATGGATAGTGTTGATGGCTAGACCCAGCGCAAGTGACGCTCAACAGTAATGCTCGAAGATAGGAGGATCATAGCCGACGGTATGGACAGCTGTCGTTTCAATCCACTGCGCCCGGTCGACCGAGTACAAAGGCCACTCGGGCACCAGGGTATCACCATCCATCCCAATGCCACAATTGGCCCAGAGCACCAAGTAACACCGTCGCTGACAATCGCGTATGCGCCACCGGCGCCGCGGCCACTGCGCTCATGAGGATTGCATTATTTTTTTTCCTTTATTCTTCATTTTTTGCTTCGCCTCGCCTTTCCCTCCCTTCTTGGGGGGCCGTTCGCACCGCCACTGCCGCTACCACGAGGCCGCTTTGTCTCGTCGCGTACAAGAAAACCATAGGTTTCTCCCAGCGGAGCAACCAAACTCCGTTTGCCCCCTTAACGCGTTAGCGTCAAATCTTCATCCAAGTCAGCAACATCTGAAGCCAGGGAATCGGAACACAAAAGGGAACATCGGCTTTTCTCATGCATCATCTCCGACGAGAGCTTCTGCCTGCTTCTACAACGGAGTTGCGGTCAACCATCATTGGGCACGGCCCTTGTCTTAAGCGACCAGGGCACTGGCGCTGGAGGACTCGTACTTCCAGTTGGCTGCCAGCTTGCGGTTCGTCCTGTAGTACCTAGCCAGGCGGTGGATGCGAGACTCGATGAGAATAAGGCGGAACTTGGAGTCCTTGTCGCGGCGGTTGCGCTCCAGGTGCTTGCGCACCGCCACCGCCTTCTTGATAAGCATGTAAAGGTCCTCGGGGATCTCGGCGGCAAGGCCTGCCAAGGACGGCCACAAGTGGACACAATTGGTTTGAGTGGGGTGGGCGTCCTCTTATGTTTTGCATGTCATAGCCGCTTGACCATTGACTACGCGTCCTCGAGAGGACAGAGCAACGTTCCCACAGGACCGATCACCGGTTGGGGGGGGGGGGG